TGCTCCAGTGGAAGGTGTCCCTGCCCATGGCAGGGGGTTGGAACTGGATGATCTTAAGGTCCTTTCCAACCCAAACCAGTCTGGGATTCTATGACATCCACGGCAGCTTTAGACCTCATGGATCTGCAGCAGAGCTTGAGTTTGGTGTGCTGAGAGGCCCTGGGTGCCCAGAGGGAGAGCCAGGCTGGTGTCCCACAGCTCGTGTGAGGCAGGCTCATGGCAAGCTGTGATGCCGTGGCTTCACTGTAATGTTATTAGTGGCTTTACCTTTCCCCTCCCATGTTGATAGAAATTGCCAGATCGCTCTCATAGATGTTGCTCAGTCAAAATTTAAGGGCTCTTTCTGCTCAGGGACAAAGCAGAAGCAGCAGATTGGCCAACTGGCAGCAGTGCTGACTGCTGCTGAGTTCCAGGGGCAAAACTAGTCCTGAAAGTGTTGTGTTTTGTTGAAACTAGTAAGTTTTCCAAGTTTTGGGGGCTCATTTAACAGTTGGAAGTGGAGGGGACACACACACACAGTAACTGTAGGAGGTCTTGTTTTTCAGTTTTCCCTTTGGAAGAAAGCTGCAGGTCTGTGGGCTAAGACAGGTCTGGACCCAAGCTGATCACAGACCACCTCCAGCCCCATTACTCATGAAAGGACTGTGAGTGGATAACCAGATTTTGTGCTTATCCTTATAGCCTACTGACAAGGTAGAGCTGGGGTTAGAGATGCTCAGCAGCACACAGGGTCAAGTTTATGGCATCTCTGCCTCAGGTTCTCCCCATACGAATGGGGTGGGATGATTAGGAAGAGCAAAAATTAGGGAGGATTGGAGGTGCTGAGCCCCCTGGTTATTTAGGGCTGGCATGTTACATACTGAGGAGCAGTGGAAGCCCTGAGTAAAAAATGGCAATAAATAAATAATGGCACTGTAGAAGGTGGCCAGAATGGTGGGGACTTGAGACACAGTATTTCTTAGGAAAAAGATTGCACTAAAAGCTTTTACCTGTGTTTCTGTCTGTCATCAACAATGGCAAGCTCTTCCTTTCTGTCACTCATTTCCCAGGCAAAACCCGGCAGCAGGTAATCTGTACAGCCTGTCAGCAGCCCTGTAAGCACACCAGAGAGATTCCCCAAAACACCATCGTTTTGTCTCACTGAATTTAAGGCTCTGCTAAATGTGGAGCAGTGCGAGATGCACACCAGCTGAACCTGAAATTCATCCCATGTGGTTTTATGTGCTAAAATCCTGATTGGCACAAGATTGGCACGAGACACTCAAGTTAGAAAAGTTAATTCACAGTTCTGTTAAAATCGTGGGTTAAAATCAATGTTCTCCGATTTGTCTGCTGAGTAATTGTTGATGTGGGATAAAAACCCCAAACAAACCAGCTGTGAATACTGGGGGTTGAGGAGCTTTTGACTTAGCATTTGAATGGAAGACGCAAGCATGTTCTCCAGGTGCTTTTGTTGCATTGCCTGAGAGCATCTCGCGTCAAAAGATGTTCATTCCTGTGCCTGTACTGAAAGCAGGCTAAGATTTTGACAGCCACAGGGGAAAAAAACCCACCTGAACACAAGGAGAAGCCTCTGTGCAGGTGTCAGCAAGAGGATTTCCTACAGCTCTGTACCTGCATATCTGTCTTAAGTGATGCTTAAGCGAACGGGCTCCTGCTGACTCTGTAAGCAGAGGCTCCGGGCTGCCAAACTTGTAGGCAGACCTCGTATGTTCACGGCAGACTGTCCTTGCATGGCATGTGGGAATGCTACCGTGAGGGAGCTCCTACAAACTGCCACTGACAGGGTCAGCAGTCACCCAACCCTGGGATCCTTCACCTGCCAGTGAGATTTTTCCCAACCTGGCACCTTCTGTTCTGCACAGCCCTTCTTGGGGCAGGGGGTTTCATGTATGTTTGCATCTGGGTGCATTAAAAGGATCAGGTCATCTACCAGAGGAAATCATAACTGGAAATGGTACTTTTGCATGCTGGCTGCTGGCTGTGAAAGGGAGTGGTGTCACAGGCAGTATGTTCCCTTTCATAGAATCACAGACTGGTTTGGGTTGGAAAGGACCTTAAAGCTCATCCAGTTCCAACCCCCTGCCACGGGCAGGGACACCTTCCACTAGATCAGGTTGCTCCAAGCCCCTGTGTCCAACCTGGCCTTGAACACTGCCAGGGATGGGGCAGCCACAGCTTCTCTGGGCACCCTGTGCCAGCGCCTCAGCAGCCTCACAGGGAAGAACTTCTTCCTAAGATCTCATCTCAATCTCCCCTCTGTCAGGTTAAAGCCATTCCCCTTGTCCTGTCATCAAATACACATTTAGTTGTACAAAGAGTGTGTAAAATGCAAATGTTAGACATATTTTGCAAGTGAGGAAAGGATGAAAGACAGTGGCTAAAACACACTTGGTGGCCAGTGCCCCTGCTCATACAGGGGGCCACACAGAAAGTCAGAAGCAAGCTCAGGGCCAGGACTCGAGTGTCCTGTGCAGCCAGGACAGAGGCTTTGACTGGTGGTGAGAAAACCCCTCTGGTTGCAGAGTTACCTCAGTAGGTGGCTCACTGCGTACCCTTTGCCTTCAAATAGAAATACCCAGGACAGCCCCAGCACCAGTGTTTCACAGAACTGAGTTGTGAAATGGCTCTGATAGATGGAAACACCCCGTTACAATCGATACCTTCCTTTACCTTGAGAGCTTTAACTCGTAATGTGTTTCCCATGTTCACTTGTCTCCTCACAGCCTTCCCACCGCTGCTCCACCATGTGGCATCCAATCTCGTGGACATTGCATGCCCAGTGGTCACCAAAGCACTTAAAGATGGTCACTGTCTACCTGCTGGTGCTCCTGGTATCGCTCAGCTTTGCTTCAGGACACAGCAGACCATTTAAACATCAGATTGACAACAGGAGTAAGTATGAGCATCACCTGATGAAATGCAATGGACTTAACTCGTATTTTTGGCTGTGTTCTGTGGAGCTGCAATAGTTCAAAACTACTTCTATATAGTAAGAAGAAAGCAAGGGCCAGAAGCTTAAGTTTGCTCTACAGACATCTTAATTTCTGTCTGGAACCACGAGCTGTCTCAAAGTCAAAATACAAGTCAATGGTTGAAGTGTCTCCATTTAGAGATGCTGTGAGGAATCAAGGCTGACCCGGGGGGTACAATACTGTATCATCCGAGTAAAAGCTAACACACAGGCCAACAGGGTTTTGAGGAAAATCTGTATCAGGAAGTCTCATCTTCCCCCAGGGAGCAAAGGCTGGTAATTGTATGTGGCGTGGGGGAGAGGAGGTGTGGGGAGTGAGGCACATGTCTCAGTGGGACACCTTTCCCCATTAAAGAGGATTAGCGATGGTGGGAATCTTAGTTTTTATGTACCCAGGTGAAGAAAGTGACATTGTTTGGGTGCTGGTGGGCAGGAGGAGGTTAAATGTGGTGTGGGAAGACTTCAAACATGCACTTATGGAGAAACGTACAGCCAAAGGGGATTTTTTATTCTCTCTGTTCATGCATCAAAACGCACAGGGGAAAATCCTGCTGCCCTGCCTGAAACTTTCATAGGACTTAGATGATATATAATGCACTTCAATTCAAATGTATTCCTGTTTCTGACAGTCCTTTGGAACGATTTGACATTTCCTTGGGGTGACATCATCTCCAGCACTTCATAGGTATTTCTTTTTGCTGTATCTTAGTCTTTTAGTATAACACATACCCCTCTCCACACCCGCTCTAAATCTAGATGAGACTATCAAAATAAGAAAGTCAGGTATAAGTGCACTTCAGATGCTTTCAAAGAAAAAAAGTAATCCATGGAAACAACTTCCCAAAGAACAAGAACTAGGTTTTTATGCTTTCATCTCACAGGAGCCCCTCTGCAGTCCGGTGGATTTGTTAGTCTATAGAGATAGCGTACCTGGTGCCTATAGCAGAGATTGAGCTGGACAGTTGGACTTCAGGTCTTCAGCTAAGAGAAGAGAGTTTAAAAATGGTGGAGTTACTATGGTGTTTGTATCCTGCACTGATACCTCTTCCAAGGTTCAGATCAGTTTTAAAGCATCCTGTGCCCTCCTGAATCTGATGGCTTACGTTAGGTTACAAGGAATCTGGAGTGGGACTTTTGACAAGGGCCTGTAGTGACAGGACAAGGGGAATGGCTTTAACCTGACAGAGGGGAGATTGAGATGAGATCTTAGGGAGAAGCTCTTCCCTGTGGGGGTGCTGAGGCTGTGGCTGGCCCCCCCCCGGC